TTGTCTTTATTTTCATCAGAAATTAAAACAAACATACGAAGTCTAGAGTCTAGAACGATTCATGATCAGACATAATAGACATTCATTGTCTGCTATATTTAATAATAATAATAATATATATATATATATATATATATATATATATATATATATATATATATATATATATATATGTATGTATGTATGTACATGGGGTGTGTGATTTTATTTTATTCCAATATAAATTTATATATATGTGTGTTTTGTGTGTATGTGCGTGTGCTTTTTTCTCCATTTTCTCTATAATCTATCAGTATATATACAGCTTATTTAGTTTGAGGCTCTACAGGCTGAAATGGACCATCATAGACCACGTGAACTTCGTTTACAGCACCCTAAGTGTATCAATGACGGATCCTCTCGTTCACCTGATCACTTTCAATAAGTTCGTTCGCTACCTTCAAGTTGCTCTGATTGAAAACAAAGTGATAATGTTAATTTTGGGTCCATGATACGCAATATTACGCTAAGTCATCTTTAATTTAGGATCCATTGCATATATATATATATATATATATATATATATATATATATACAAACAAAGCTCTCATCTAGGAACCCCAACTCCCCATCAACGGACTTCGGATGCAACGGACAAAATATGCAGGAAAAAAAAAACTTCCAAATCGTCAGTGATGTATTTAAAAATTTGCTGGCTTAGCGAAACGTGTCGTATCAGTTCTCAAAGTGACCGCTTGGCGGCGGTGCCGTGCCTTTCATTTTTAAACAAAGACAGGTGGACAGTATATAAAGTTAAAGTACGTTACATTAGCGCGTGCGTGTGAAAGTACAGTGCCACACAAATGTTTACAACGCATTGTTTCTTTAGGCATTTCTAACACCGATTAATGAAAATTTTACTGCTAATAAGAATGTTTAAACCTTTAGTCAAACAATCAGATTTTAAAAAATGATCGCTAAAAATATCTCATGAAGAAAAAACGCAAAAGTTTACAATACATTTTTGTAGCATAACCTTGATTGCTAATTACAGAATGTAGACATTTAGAGTAGTCACCTATGAATTTCTTGCATGTTTCTTGGCTAATTCCATTCTTCATGACAAAATTGCTTTAGTTCATGCAGGTTTTAGGGATTCTTTGAATTCTCAGTTTCAGCTCTGTCCATAAATTTCCAATCAGATTGAGATCTGGGCATTGACTTGGCCATTTTAGAATGTCTATTCTATTTGAACTTAACCATGATTTTATAACCTTTGCAGTATGTTTAGGATCATTGTCTTGTTGAAAGACATAACCTGGTTTCAACCCAGTGATTGTGCACGATAACGTAAATTTCTCTCCAAAATATCCCTTTAACATGCTCCATTCATCCTCCCTTCTATTATTTCAATGTTCCCTATACCTTGGATGCTAAAGCAATCCCAGATCATAATTGATCCGTCTCCAAATTTTACTGTTGGAATAGTATTCTTCAGCAAATATTCAGTACCCTTCTTTCTCCAGACCTTTGCCACAGCATTTCTGCCGAAAACTTCAATTTTCGTTTCGCCTGACCGAAGTACATATTCCCAAAATGCTGCAGGTTTGATACAATGCTCATTCACAAAATCCAGTTTAGCAAGAATGTGTTTTTGTTTAAGAAGTGTTTTTTTCCTTGGAGTCCTCAAAACAATGTCATATCAACAAAGTTGTGAATGACTAATTGTAACCATACTCACTTTTACTCCACTTGCTTATAGTCCTCCCTGAAGTTCTTTTAGCATAACTCAGGGCTCATTGCCAACTTTTCTCGCCAATAATCTTGCCGTATGTTCCGTTACTTTTCTAGGATGACAAGAGCTTTTTTTGTGATGTTCCATCTTCAAGCGAAATTTTTTTTGTCATTAAGTTCAGTTGGTACAATAGTTTCATCAAAAAAAATTTCGCTTGAAGATGGAACAGAGCTTATTTTAACTATTAAGAGCTTATTATAATTATATTGACGTTTTCGGCTCTTGTTTTGAAACATGAGACTTCTTATGTAGCGTTTTGGAATCATATTTTTAAATAAATAATTATATTTATGCTCTACTTTTTGTATCGAGCACTATTTTAAAAAATAATAACTAAAATACTAAGGGACTTTGGATTATTTACCTAACCAGTTCCTTCCTATTTTCTATATTTTCTCATATATATATATATATATATATATATATATATATATATATATATATATATATATATATATATACGACCTGGATTAGCACCCCGACATTTTTACTTTATATTTATATATATATATATATATATGTATATGTATATATCACTGGAACGGTAGTATTTTGATATGTTCATTTAGAGATCACACGTCTTCCATATAAAAGATTGGCGTGATACAGTCTACAAATCCTCTTGATTCTACCATATATTTCAATTACTTATTACTTCTGGACTTGCCAATTATCCGTCTACCCGTGATCAAGCTTTGTGTCACTAACTTTGTGCCTTTTTTAATAGATTGTTGAAATTAGTGATTATCTAAAATCGTGTGCTAATCATAACAAAGGTTATTTGCCAGTAAACATTGATTAGGCTTTTGTTTTGTTTTGTACTTAACCAACAATTAGCATCCACAATACACACAGACACAAACACACAAACCTACGCAGGCAGAGACATACACACTCTCTCTCTCTCTCTCTCTCTCTCTCTCTCACACACACAAACACACCCACCCACACACACACACACACATACACATATATATATATATAATTGCTTATAGATATATTTGAATACATACACTGATACATTTTGAAAATATTTTCATTTTATAGCACTTTTTTGGATTACACATCTCATTCTTAGTTAATTGATATTTTAAGGTGGTCATGTGTATTTTTAAACCACAATTTTAGGCCTAGGTCATTATTCGTTCATATAGACGGCAAACGTATGTCTGTTTTTGCCTCTGTTGTACAGGTCTGTGCACAGAGCATTAATTAATTTAGCTTAAAGAATATGTCCTGCCAAAATATATATATATATATATATATATATATATATATATATATATATATATATATATATATAATAATAATAATAAAAAGGCTTAAACACTAATATTCCATGGTCATAATTTATTCCGTAAATACGATCCAATTCATCAGACCTACAAATTCAAAAAAGAAAACAGAAAAAAAAACAACTCCGGAAATAAAAATAGAATTTAGAGAGGGTGTAAGTATGAGAGTGTGGGACTTAAGAGAGGAGGTAACAGCTCTAACTTTAGCTCTAGCATTCGTCCCATTATATATATATATATATATATATATATATATATATATATATATGGAAAATATTTTTTAAAAAACTAGAACTTGTAAATCCTTACATGATCCATGTTCCCTGTGTTTACAAAAAAAAAGCATACTATAAAGTTTCCTAACAATAAAGCCCTGTTAAACCAAAGAAATGAATTGACGGTGTTATGCCGGCATTGCCTATCTTTTACCTTACGATACAGTAAAAAAAAATCATAAATAATTACGTATTACAATTGAATAGCCATTATTTTATAAGTATATAATGGTCCACCCAATATTTATTTGGTTTATTCAACTTTACTATTGCTATGTTTTACCGTCTATTCAGTATAATTAGCAAAGTATATAGATGTTCCACATTTTTAATTTTACCAATTGGCCCCTTTAAGAAACTTCTTGAGTATATAAAAAAAATTTTTGTAATAAAAATTGCTTCTGATAACTTTTATGTCTACTTCAAGAAATCAGCAAATTATACTTGGCTACATCCATATTACATTTGCCACTGCAATGATTCCTAATATCGTTGGATGACATGACTAATTTCTTGACATGTAAAGATAACCCACTGACCTTATTTTTATATTTTAGCGTAGATCTGACGTTTAATTGGTTAATCTAGACATACCCACAAGTATATTTTTTTAATTCTGGCCTTATATGCCCCCACTCTTTAATTTCCAAAAAGAGGTAACAGTTAGTTTTTAAATTTCCCTAATAAATCATTTTTATCACAAGTTACCTACCATCGCCTAAGGCAGTACAATCTTAGTACTGAAACATGAAAGCTTTTTGTGTAGCGATGTTTTTATTGTAATCTATTATAATATATATATATATATATATATATATATATATATATATATATATATAGTTATTTACTTAGCTTAGCATAGTGTCTTATTCCCCAAATTGATTTTGTGGAGTTAATTCACAGCTCAAGGGAAATAAAAGAAATAAGATTGTGTTGCGTCAATCTTTCAAGTAGAGAGGGTCAGCTTACCTTGCGGCTCAGTATTCTAAATGTGACTATAAACTGAACCTTTATACCACCCATGCGTATCGGTGGGGAAATGTGTAATTTGTCTTTTTCTTTCTCTAGATACTGTTACTTTCACTTTCTCTTTTTCTAGATCCTGTCTCTTTTTCTTCTTCTAGATGCTATCGCTCTCTTTTCGCTTTCCCTAGACACTATCTCCTCTTTGTCTAGATGCTATCTCTTTCTCTTTTCAGAGATACTGTCTCTCTGTATCTTTCTCTCTTTAGACGCCGTCTCTTTCTTTTTCTCTAGATATTGTCACTCCGTTTCTGTTTCACTAGACGCCTACTCTTTCTCTTTTTCTAGATGCTGTATCTTTCTCTTTTTCTAGATGTTATCTCTCCTTTTATCTTTCTCTAGATGCTACCGTTCTCTCTCTTTTTCTCTCGTTGCTGTCTCCGTTTTTTTCTCTCTCACACTTTCTCTAGATGCTGTCTCTCTTTTTCTGTAGACGCTGAATCTTTCTCTCGATACTGTCTCTCTTTTTCACTTTCTCTAGACGCTGTCGTCTCTTTCTCCTATTTCTTTAGAGGTTGGCTATTTTTCTTTAGATGCTATCTCTCTCTCTTTCTCTCTTTCTCTCTCTCTCTCTCTCTCTCTCTAGATCTTGATTCTCTCTCTTTCTTTAGACGCCGTCTCTTTCTCTAGAAGATGACTCCTTTTCTTTCTCTCTCTTTCTATATTTGCTTTCTCTTTCTTTTTCTCTCGGCGCTGTCTCTCTCTCTCTCTTTCTCTAGATGCTGTCTCTTTTTTTCTTTTTTTTGTATATGCTATCTCTTTCTTTCCCTTTCTCTAGATGCTGTCTCCTCTTTCTCTCTCTTTCTCTTGATGCTATCTTTCTTTTTCTCACGGTGCTGTCTTTCTCTTTCTCTAGATGCTATCACTTTCTCTTTCTTTAGACGATGCCTTTTTGTTAACACACTTTCACTCGATTTCTTTCTTTCTGTATCTGTTTTTTTTTTATTTCTCGTTGCTCAAACTTTCTCCTTTTCTGTTTCTCTCTCTTCTGCTGACCATTTGTATTTTTCTATCTATCCGCACGCACTCTTTCTCTCTCTCACACACACACACACACACGCGCGCACACACAATTCCAATAACTCATTTAATTTTTTTTTACTACCCCACCTCATTCTATAATTGTTTGTTTCACTTTCTCTCTTTCTTATTTTATTATTTCTCGTTTAAAAAAATAATTTTTCTCTTTCCGATATATTTCTTTTCTTCGTCCCTTCATTTTCTTTTTTATACATTTAATTTTTTTTTTTTTACTTAATTTTCTTTGCATATTTTTCTAATCTTAATTTTTCTTTCACATCTTTCTTTTTATCACTTTCTTTTTCTGTTTTCATCATCTTTTGCACAATAGTTTTTGTCTTCTCCTTTTCGGGGGGGGGCTTTCGTCTTCCCATTTACTTCTGCTCCACCCGTCTTGCACTCTCTCTCTCTCTCTCTCTCTCTCTCTCTATGTATATATCTGTTTGGTACCTCACTCTCTACCTCAATTTCCACACACACACACACACACACACACAAACTCTCTCTCTCTCTCTCTCTGTATATATCTGTTTGGTACCTCACTCTCTACCTCAATTTCCACACACACACAAACTCTCTCTCTCTCTCTCTCTCTCTTTCTCTCTCTATCTATCTATCTCTCATTCTGTCAATTTTATTTTTGTTCTCTTTATCTTCTTATCCGCCACTGTCTTCTTTCTCCCTCAACAGACGAACCTTACTCACACAAAACTTAGTTCCACCCTTTAAACGGATGGACGGGCAGACAGACGATTTGAAGTGTCCCATACACCGAGTGCGTTGTGTCCAACAAGCCGTTAAAAAAAGCCCTTGTTCACACCGTAAGGCCTTTTTATCAATCAACCAACCCTCTTCCACTTTTCTGTCTTCCTCATTTTATTCAATAGAAGCCTTGCCTCGTCTATGCCCGTCCGCAGAAACACATTTTTCTCACTTTTTGCATCCCGACCTTGTTTGAAACATTTTACTACTGAATGCCTCGAACGTCCATACCATTATTTACCCTACCAACTCTGTGGCTAAAAATCAGTAAAAGTTGAACACTACACTCTTTAACCTCATCTATAACCCACACCCACGCATAAAGCAATAGACACGTATCTACGGACTTGTTTTATATGAACGCTATACGCCCTCAGAATCGCTCTGAAAAATTGTACATATGAATTTGATAGTTATTCATTATTATTAAGCGATTATTTCATATTTCGTCTCCTATTCTGCCTTTTTATTACTTCACTGCCTGTTTCTTGTCTAAGATTTTTTCTCCAGGCCAAAAATGAAAACAACTAAATGCAACAAATTGTTAGGTAGATGAGTATTATTAGACTATTTACATTCATATAGATAGTACTTGGACCACTGACATAAAGTGCCCATTTCACATCTATAAAGATTTAAAGAGGTTGTCTATTTTTTTTCACGAGTTCAGGTTTCTCCTCATCTCAAGGAACTTCCGTTATTGATCCCTGAGCTTTTTCTTAAATCATCAAGATTCATCAGAGCTAAATAGACAAAATAGCAATCCTTGTAAGATTTTTGCATATGACACTTAGAGTACGACTCACGCGAACATTTTTGAGTACTAAAAAGCAACAGAGCCACAAAGTAAAAATGTCGGGGTGCTAAACCAGGTCGTAAACGTTGGGTGGTGAGGCTAAATAAGTTTCTTTTTAAATTCTTGATTCTATACATATGAATATTTTTTTTTAGATCTATTCCTAATAGAGTGATTCTCAACCGTTTCTGTCCAATTATCTTCACCAAATTATTTTCCAACCTTTTATGACTTTCCTCCGCTCTCCAAGATTGTCCGACTCAAAAGGTTCATTCCAATCAAATAATGATATGTATTCGTATATATTATTGAAAATCTTCATTCTTTTCCATTACATATGCATTTACAATTTTCCATGGATTATTTTTTTATAGAGGTGTTTTACAAATTTAATAGCAATAGAAAATATTGATGGATTTTAAATCTTGGATATATCCTTCTTACCTTATATATTGAACGTACCCCGTATTGAATAATTTTATCCCCTGTCCCGTCCTGACTATTCAAGGAGACAACAAATGCCCCGTATTTAGTTCATATTCAAATTTCGAAATGAAAATATATTTTTACTACCTTCTTACAGTTTTAGGTTGTAACCTGTAATGTAGTGTTGCTAGAAGTTTTTTGCATAAAACTGACCTGTTTAGTTTATTTCTTTGTTGTCTGTATTAGATAAATATTTTCAAATGATTTCAATTTTACAGAAGTTCTTTTTCTTAGAATTAAATAATTTTTAAATGATTTTATTTTTATTTTCCTCATAACTCATTAAAATCATTGCTTTATGTTTTTATGTCTTTTCTTTTATAATTCATAATTAAATATTAAAGAAATAAACTGAAGCATACTTCAATAAACAAAAAAGTTCAATAGAATGCCACGGTATTGGAATTGAAAAAACAAAAAGTTCAATAATAGGTTTGGGTATTTACATAGATTTTATTCTGATGAAGAGTACAGCCTTGATAGAGTTTTAAAATGTTTACGCGGCCTTGTGGGTGATGACTTATTTTCTACCCTACAGCCCCTTTCTCCGCAACGTCGCAAGCATATCGCTACTTCCACGGCAAATGTTCAGGCCATCTCCATTTTCTAGGGCCACCAGCTCAGACCTTTTCCTGCTAAGAACTGATACTTTGTGGAATAGGCTCCTTTGTGGATGCTTCCCCGAACACTACAATCTCAACCTTTTCATGGCTAGGGTCAATCGTTATCTTCACTTTCTAGTTCCTCCTCTTATTTTCATATCACCCCTTATTCAGTAACTCTCTACCTTGTATTGGGTAAACTTTAGTAAAAAAAGGGAATATTTTTAATAGAATAATTAAGAATATTTTAATTTATTTCATATAAAATAAGTCATATCTATTTTATAGTAATTAGATAATATTTTAATAAAACTCAATCCTTTCTATTTGAATTTTTGGGATGAGGAGCTATTATTATTTTTACATTTGGACGAATGTCTGCATTTTTGTTGTTATCGTTTCGATCGTTGTGCCTTCCGGTCTTCTTCAGGTGCTTGTCGATCTGGACAACCATCAGTTAAGATCGAACGGAACCCTCTACATGAATAGATTGTTCCCATTCCATATTCATCTTGTTTCTTTTAGTACGGCTCAGTTCGTGCTCATCCTGTTTCCAATGAGTGTCAGTCTCTACTCTCCAGGCTAATAATTGAACTCACAATTATTATGCCAACCACGAACCAACGGTATTTTTTTTTTCGAAATTTCCAAATCAACAGACATGAGGCGGAATCCAGATACATTGTCACCAACAAAAATATAGCTTTGTGATATAAGTGAATGAAAACGAAAGGCTGAAAATAAGTTTGAACAATGAATGAACAAAAGGACAAGAAAACAAAAGTTTAGATTTCGGTAACAATTGAAGAATTATTCTCAACAAAATCAAATTCAAAATTCTTCGTCTTTGTAGACGGTTTAAAAGTGAAATGTAGATTTCTTAATGAAGAAAAAATTTATAGTCAGCTGCCGAAAAAGGAAATCATACGAACGCTATGAGTGTTTGTAAATATGTTAGGGTCGGTTGCAAAATAGACAGGTGACTTTATTTGACTGGACAAGGTATGTGTTCAATGAGAGAGTGCATGTGTATGTATGCGTGTGTGTACGCATGTATGTTTGTGTACGACACTGAACGACAAACGGACGGACTCGGCACTGACTCTACTGGTGGACAAGCATCCCTTACATAAAGACAAGCTGTTTTTCGATAGTTGGATTTTGTTGACGGAACTCTTTAAAGTTTTAACGTATTGTCATGAATTGGCTCTAAAACAACGTTTATTAGAGTTGAATTTGAATTTGCTACAGATACCTGAAAAAGGCCGGAATATCTAACGGACGAAGATGAGAAAACTAGTCCGAATGTAAATAATGTAAATAAACTAAATGCTACTGCTAGAAGTCTTAATTTATTGCAATCAAATTAATATTTGAAACACGTTTTAACTAACAATAATCTTTTACACAATGACGACTCACAATCCCGTTAGTTTATAATTTTACATATTTTATTAAGGTAAATTAAATATGACTTTTATTTTATTGTATTGATATTAAATAAAAATATTACTTATTTTATTAAAAAATATTAAGAGTCCACCTAGGAGAAGGAAAATCCTGATTTTATATCTCCACTGTCTTGTGGTCATACTCAGTCATGGAAAGGTTATGGAAGTCAATTCAGACAGAAAACCTGGAGTACAGTCCCGAAGGCAATTGGCTGTCAACACTGACAACTTTACAGCAACTCCTGCAGCCAAGCCATCCCAAAATTGAATGTCCTGTATTCCTTCGGATCTTATTGGTACAGCATATAACCTGGGCAGTGCATGGCCTCTATATACCATCGTTCAGGGCTGCACCCTAGAGAGGTTGTAGTGAGTCCAAAATGAAAACTCTCTTCTTGTCCTCCCTTCAAATTCCGAGGACTGAAGAAGAAGGAAAGGAATTCATGAGTCCATCTGAAATTATTTTTGAACCAATGAAAACCTTGCCATCACAGAAATTAGCCAGTCAGCCAAGAAGAAGAAGGAAATAAATTTGCTAGCCTATGTGAAATTCCTTTTGATATAAAATACTTGTATTGGATGTGTGATTAATACAACAGATATCAGTGCAGAAAGTAGAATTGACAAGCCAAGTTGAAATCCAGGGCTAGTCTTTTGTATTTGCTTTTGCACTAATGTCCTTGGAAAAAGGCATGAATTCATCTTTCCCCCACATATTGGTTGAATAGCAAGGTAAACTGGGCTCTCTAACAATTTGGTAGTAAGCAATCTGAGAGAAAGAAAACACTAAATTTCAAATGATGTAGAAGGCAACGGGAATTCACTCCACTATCTTTTCCAAGAATGGATAATAGTTCACAGAAAAAAAATAAAAAAGAATTTATGGAGAGAGTCAATTGCTTATGTCTTTTAATGAATGGATACTACTATAAAAATATTTCTTTTTTAATTTTTGTAAAATTTTTTTTTTCTTTTACAAAACAGTAACGGGTACTAATTTTTTTAGAACCAGTCATTCTAATTATGTATTTATTTGTTTTTTGGCTTCTCATAATTTCTGACACAAAGATTTTTTTCTTTGATGACAAATCGTTTGGCAATCTTCTGTTTGTTGGAACCTGGAGTTTTGGTGCATTTCAGGAAGCAAAGCAATACACTGCTTATAATAAAGTAGATAATTAATAAATTAGCTAATTATTAAAGTGGTTAATTAATTCAGAATTCTTAAGAATTTTAGTGAATTAGTTTAATGGGACAAAGAAGAAAAAAAGAATCCAGTTTTCTTAAAACATATTTCAAATACTGGCTGAGATTGACTTAACATCACTAATACTTAGTTTATATACAAGATGTGATGGATAAATTGCGATCTAAATTACACAAAAATGAAAATAATACTCATTTTAACAGATATATTTACCAAAATTACACAAAAATATCTTGAAATATTAAAGAGTAAATTTATTCAATAAAATTGCCATTGGCTTCAACCACAGCCTCCAGATGACTTTGAAATCTCCTGCAAATCTTCTGAATGGTCTACTTGAACACTGTCATATCAAAGACGAACTGAGGGCATCCTTGTCCTCAGTTCATCTTTGATGCTACAAGGAGTTTTGTTAGTTTCTCACTCAACTGTGTCCCACACATAATAATCAAGGGGGTTGCTGTCTGGAGAGTTAGGTGGTCAGATATAAGGGATGATGTAGTCACACAAATTGATAACAGCCATGACTGGGTTCTCCTGCTTGTGTGGCATGGTGCAGAATCTTGTTGCCAGATATAGGGTTTTCTAGCAGCCACCCTCTTGACCCAGGGTAGCACTGCCTTCTCAAGGCACTTGATGTAGGCCTCCATGCTG